GTAACTCTGAAAGTGGCAGAAGAATCAGTACAACACAGAGGCTCAGTTCCTCCTGTATCATCACAATTGACTTTGCATTGGGTGCTTTCTGTTATTCTTGTGTGTATTTCCTACAATGCCATAAGAATTAAGTTACATACCACAGATTTATACTGCTAACAATAAAAGACAAAGAAAGGGCAGAAGAAGAGAAGGACCAGGGTCTTAAACATATTTTGAAATACTCAAAATAACTCTTCACTTGAAAAGGAATTCTTAACACCAACAGATGGAAATTTAGAATAAAAATCCTAAGAATAACTACTAGAAGCTACTTTCATCTTTTGGTTAAATAATTTGGATCACATTGACCTGAAGAGATCACTAATGAAAAATATAGATGAATCTGTATTTGAAATACTGCAGAGACAGAAAAAAAACAAAAACAACAAACAAACAAAACAAAAAACAACAAACAAAAAAAACACCACCAAAAAAACTCACCAAAACTAATGCAAAACAATATAGATATCCAAATTATAAGAAAAGGAAATTTGCATTGAGAAGTAGAAATTAATATACCTAGAGCAAAATTAGACTTGTTCTCTTTCTAAAACACACAGAAATCATATTAGCTAAAACTATATAGAAAAGACTGCTTTCATTCAGAACTGTCTTTGCAAGGCATTCTGAAAATCTACAGAACTAGACTAGATTAGCTCTCATCTACTTTATTCCCACCTTCCTTAGGAGATATATGAGGCTATGAAGCATTGTAGTCTTTCAGGAGGAAATGCCTGACGAATGTTATTGTACATATTAAACCAGCAATGACAGACAAAGTACAAAGATTTCAAATGGAGCTATCTTATGTTATGCAGACAAATCCTTGTTATACAACTGATTGTTATTTGGTCTACTAAGCAAGTAAGTTAGGGTTAAAAGATAAGGGATGAAGAATGAATCTTCTATTTAACTTAGCAAAACTAAATCACACAGTCCATTTTTTTTTTTTAAGAATGCTGTGTAGAATAGAATAGTTTAATTCAGTTTTAAACTTGCACTCGAGGAGAATCCAACTACTAGACTAGTCTTGGTTCTGAGCTCTCTACTTCACCTAATACAGGGTAACACACCAAACGATGAAAACAATACATAAATTGTCTTCTTTTGTATGATGACAGCTCTCACGTCAAGACTCCAAAAGCTCTCGTTTACCCATTCACACTATTTCTATCAACACAAACACATATTAGTGTGTTAACTCTGTGCAAGATACATCTGATATGCCCAGAGGTCAGCAATCCCTTCAACATCACAACCCACGTACTAGCTGAGTTCACTAACTCATTAGTAGGATCTGTTTACTTCCAAATGCCTATTTGGTGTCCTAGAATTAAAATTAATGGTTTTTCTTTTATTATTATTAATTCTGATTTTTAAGCTTACAGATGATTGGGGAAGACCATAACTTTGATACTGTTACTCTTACTTTTTCCTTTGCAGTGTTTCAATATCTAGAAGTTAGTAGTCAGATTTCTCATCTTTCATAACTTCTGTTCCACCACCAAAGCATTAATAGACCTTGGCTTCTTTTGTATTCTGCTAGAGACTTGACAGGTAATACGGTATTCCCCACAGTTCAAGGCTATCAGATATTAAGAAGTATTCTTACCCTTTAGAGAAATGTTAGTTGTGCACAAAAAAAAAAAAAAAAAAAAAAAAAAAAGGAAGAAAGAAAAGCTTCTTTAACAACCAGGGGTTAAAAGCACATAGAAATATATTGAGGGCATACGTAGACTATGCTTACACTGCTAAGGGAGTAGGCCAGGTTTGCCTCAGTTCCTTCACTGCTGACTCACCAATGCTGCTACACTTTACTGCCCATTTATCCACTTGTATCTCCACCCCCAGTCACCTCACAACTATGATACAATTCCATGTATTTAACCACAGTTCCAAATCAAGACCAGACAGAGCCCTTCTCAAGTTTGAGAGGGCTGCAAGATACTGAAAATAAGAAATACAGGTCTCATATTCTAAGTCCTATTAATAATGAAATTGCTCTTCAGCTTGTGAGCATTTCTTACCAGTCCCTTCAGCGTAGCAATATTCTCATTGTCAAGCAATACTAATGACCTCATGAATTCTTCTTTCATCTTCTAACTACTGTTGCCTCATCAATCATAATTTTATGATGTCTGTGTAACTACCTGAGCTGAGGGTTTTCTCATACTCAACAGAGTAACAAGTCAAAAGACAGCTTCTATACTATTTGGGCGTCTGTAACTAAAATAGGATTCCAAAACTAAACCCTGTCTTTTGTCCTTCTCCTTTTCCCCTCTGCTCCCTTCAACGATGAGCTTAGTTAAATGATTCTTTCCAAAAAGGTCCTCATAATATGTTTTCCACTCTTCAACCTCATGAGAGGGGCAAACCCTCCACAGCAAATCAGAAGGAATTTACCAGAACTGTTCTATAAATTAAAAAAAACCTCTGTGGTCTTTACTTTTATGAGAGCTGCAAAGATAACACTGTAAAGGTGTTGCTAGCTCTTTCCTCTTTAAACTGCTGAGCCAGACAGGGTACCTGTGGAAGTGCTTGTGTACTCAGAAAGGTAACTTCTAAATACACATGTGGGATTATTGAAGGTGAAAAAAAAAAAAGAAAATCCTACAAAAATCCTGTTGATGTGCTTCCCCAGATAGTATCCCTGTCATCAGTCTCAAACATTATATCAGACTCTGGTGACATATATGGTAAGCATTTGAAAACTGATGGTTAAAGAAGTTTGTTTTCCTTTGCCAAGTGCTGACTTGAGAAGGAAACAGCTTACATGGGTAATAAGGTTCGTTTTGGATCGATATGCAGTAGATTGCCCAGTGCTGATTATTTTGAACAAATGTACAGCTCTACCCCATGTAATAAAAATCTGGCTGCCCTTTGTTACTCATGAAACTCATAAAGGTTAAACCTTTAGCCTGAAGGAAAAAAGATCCTTTTCATCCAATGAAAATTAATAGGACTGAGCATCCCTCCCCTTGCAGGCAGCTGCAATTTTTCAGCTAAGAGGCAGAGAGGTTTAAGAAGAATTGATGATGGAAAGTTTTTGTCACCACCATAAACACATTTTAAAAGCAGCTAGCAGTGGGCTCACTCTGAGAATTGCATGTCTGAGGCGATGCCAGTGGTACTTAGCGCAGCTGGTCATGGCTGGGAGCCTGACTCAGTGCTGTTTGTCTCAAGATTTTCCAGTGGGCCATTTCAAGTGGCAGCGCACAGCTGATGTGCCATATAACCCACATTAGCACCTCACCTGCAAAATACATAATTACATTCAAATCTGCTGATTAGATGCAAAATACAAACACATGCCAGTAGTTGCATGTCAGTGGTAATCATGCTCCAGTGAAGAAAAGGAGTGGATTGTTATCCAGAACTAATGCCCCATCCTGTCTCTCCAAAAAAGATTACTGGCAGCTTGCATAGAAATTAAAATGTCATATGATCCTTTTTTGGATGATGGTTCTTTAAGGCTAGGTAAATTTAATTCTGATTGTTTTCCACACATTAATTTTGCATCTTAACTCTCATACAAAGGTTTGTAAAACATATTTCTGTAATGCTAAAAAAAGGAAATCTTCTGATAAATTACTTATTACATATATATATAATGAGCCAACAAATTGCGGGATTTATAAAATTAGAGGATGTTAATCTAATATCTCTTAATATAACTGCTACTCTCATGTCAATCTTCTTCACAGGAGCATGTTTGTTCCAGATTTATTTATTTTTATAACTAATGTTCACTTCAGAGTGAAGTTTGTGTTTGTATTAGACTAATTTATATCCATTTGAAACTGTTAAATTCAAGCCAGTCCCTTTTTCCACTGGGAATACAGTCAAGCACAGTTGCTGCCAAATAACTATTTGGAAAATATGTTTTTATTATTGTTGTGTCTTTAGGTGATTATATGCAGTGGCTGATCCTGAGAACTCATTACAGCCATTGTTAATACACTGGACCAAGCTTTGTTCTGCCACAGCAGGTAGCAGCTAAAACCCAAAAACCTAAGCCTTGAATTTAGGGATAATTTCTTAAGACTTACTTAAAACACAACATCACAGAATGGGTCAGAGTGGAAGGGACCAGTGAAGGTCATCTGGTCCAACCTCCCTACTTAAGCAGGGTCTTGTACAGGATTGTGTCCAGATGGCTTTTGGATACCTCCAAAGACTCCACACCCTCTCTGCACAATCTATTTCACTGATAAGTAAATATACATCATACATATACATCACACTTATACATCAACTATAAATATTTGATGAATCACTATCAGAATGCACTGATAAAAGAATGCATTTATGTAGCATAATCCATTAAATTCCCATTCACAATGAGGTTTGAAATGTGGTTTGGGGTTTTTTACCTTAAAAAATACAAGTAAATAGTCTAGCAGTATGTAGTCTTTGTAAATTCCATGTGTTTAGAGGGTACCTTCTTGAAAATAATGAATTCTTACATTAAAAAACCACTATCATTGCTTCAGATACGCTACCCCAAAAAAGAAACAACCTTGAAAATACATATTATATTAAAATGATATCTAGTGAACAAACCTAATATCTTTAAAGAGATTTATGACAAAGGAAAAGCTTGGAAAAACACGTTTTTAAAGAGAGTGAGAACTTGTGTAGACTCTGTGAGAAAGAGTCTCTCTGAGGAAAATGATGATTTCAATATCTAATGAAGTCTGGATGTGTTCTATAAAATGTCAAAATAAAGTTTGCACAGGCCATCGCAAAGCTGATGCTTCCTAATTTTACAGACTAGACAATCTACTTCTACTCTAACCTTCACACAGACTCCTGAGATTCTTCCTAGAGGGAAATATAGGAGTAGATTTTGTTACCTGTCTACATCCTGTAATGAACCAGCTGAAGCATTTGAACCCCTTTCCTTCAGTTACTGTAAAACCAGCTGCTGTTGCTGGATTCACCTGGCCAGCAGTACTGGGGGAACACTCTGCTGCTGCCAAGACCTCCAACGGGCTGGAGGAAAAAGCTTCCACACCCTGCTTCTCCACTGGTGTCCTCCCTGAGCTGAGGCTGGCCTGAGCTTTGGAGCTGGCCATGTATTCTACAGGTGAGATGCTGCTAAAAACCATCAAAATGGTTTTGAGATGTACAAGATTTGGAAATAAAAGCCATCTAGTTTATTTTGTTTTTTCTCTTGCATAGGTCCTACCTCCAAAGCTATAGTAAAGTCCTTGGTGACCCCACTACAACGAGGAAGCTGCCACCAGTGCTTTGAGGTGAGTTGTTTACTCCACAAGCATGGGCTTATTTATCCCTTTTTAATTTTTACAGCATAAATGGATCTCTTAGAAGTTTTGCACATTCCACATTCTTACTTTGTCAAACTAATAAGTGCTGTTTTAATCACTTCCATGTTTCTGAGCATCCATATCCTGATAGGTGCTTAAGAGAAGAGTATAAAAGAATGGCTCCTTCCCTGAAGAGTTTGAAGAAGCTACTTTACAAATTGTACTATAAGAACTTGTAAATGACACATATTAAATTTTAACCCTTACATTTCACCCATATCGTTTTTATATCAAGTCTTTCTTTGACAAACTGATCCACAATTCCTTTTTAAAAAAGTGTCTTCTTGAGAATGTCTCTTACCTCAGTCAGATAATTGACAGCTCCTTTACACAGTTTGTGTATTTTTGCAAAGTATTATTTCACTAGGAAAAAAGAGAATGACTTAAAGCAACTTAGGTAAACTAACAAGAGAAATAACTGCTCCAAGGAACTGACTTTACAAACAATAGACTTTTGGAGAGACACCAGATTTCACCAAGATTAAAGTGGAGTGAGACATTATGATACACACTGGTAACACACAGTGTGAAAGCCTTAGAGAACAAATGACTGGGGAGTAACTTTAATAAGATGCAATTAGAGGGATATTTTAAATTTCTTATTACTAGATATGAATTTTAAGGGAGAATCTGACCAAGAATTATGACTCAGACCACTGAGAGAGCACTGTATTTAATCTCCTGAGTGAATTTGAAATAATGATTTACTGTTTGCCACCCAAATTTTGTTAACAAAGTAAATAAACTGCATATTTTTTAAAATCTCATCTATTTTACTCACCTCTCAAATGTCTTTTTAATTTTAAAATTAAATATTCTGGAATTGCAAAATACTGCTTTCAAAAATGCATTTTAATGTGCTAATAAAATAAGCTACTGATTACACTAGTCCAGGTGTTCAGAACTGCTTAGACATCTCCATAGAGCACGGCACCATGCCATATCATCATATTCCATCTTTTGTCTGGCTCATTTTGTTAACAGAACATTCAATAATGTACAAAAAAAAAAAAAAAAAAGCTTCTATGTTTCACTGTATTCCATTCATTGCTGTTCTTATCCACACCGGAATTACAGTTTTTATCTGAAGGTGTTACGTGGGAGGCGATGAAGGGCCCAATGAACCTGCTTTATTCCCTTTCTTCCCACTTGTGGTAACGGGTCATATTGGGGTTTAGTTGGAAAAGGAGTCTGAGCGGCCTCGTTTTAACAGGATAATTACAGTGCCATAGCTGTGCTGATAGAACTCCCCCATGTGGATCCTCTATTTCAGGGATAAAAAATATTTTATTCTTGTATAATTACTCTGCTTTTTAATTCTGTCTGAACAAATCCCTATGAAGGGAAGCATATCAGTGTATCTGCAGAGTTTCATTTCTTCTTGCAGTCCAACTGTCTCAGGGGAATCTGAGATGCTGGGATGGCACCAAGCCTCCCCTCTACTTCAGTCAAGTGAAGAGCATGGTCTGCCATCTAGTCTGGCCAAAGAACCCTCCCCACAGAGAAAAAGACTGAAAATGGGGTGGCATGAAATATTTCAACAGTACTGAGTTAGTAGCAATGTTAAATATCAGCCTAAATTGAAAAGATGAATTTTCACTTGGTTAAACGTCAAGGCTAAAATTGGAACTTTCATTTTTTAAGTTTAGGGGTTTTTGTTTGGTTTCTGTTGTTTGTTTGTCTGGTGTTTTTTTCTATGAACAGCTGAAAACTATGCTTTCTGTTTTTCTGTTAGGAAAAGCCTAGGCAGGCCCAATTACAGATTTAACTGAACCGAACAAAATTTAATTTAGGGACAGAAGCAAGGTTATTAAAATCACAGAAACTACTCACTTTTTAACACATATAAATGCTTTTCAAGTTCTTTTCCACAAGGGATTTAGGAGGCTGCATACAGATACAGATAGATCTGTCTGTATAAGTCTCCCAGTACAGCATGTTTTCTGGACTTGCAATCAATTTCCACACTTTCACTTTATGTAACAAAAAGACAATGAATTAAAAAATGAAAAAATAGGTTAATTAATATAATTGAAAAGAAAGAGGTAAGTTCTAGTCTTTATTTTCTCTCTTAGAGTGAAGCTCCCCTGTGGCGTTAGGTTAAAAAAAAAAAAAATCACTCTAATTTATCTAGAAATAGCATAAAAGGTTTTCTATTGCTGTAATGATAAATAGTGTGGATAATCTGGGGCTGCCTAATCATACATCACTCACTGACCAAAAATACATTTTTCATCATCACTATAGAAAGAAATTCTCATTGTTAGTAGCAGAATCCTTACCACAGCCTGAATACAAAGAGTTAAGTCCACAGCATCTGAACTTACAAAATCACCTAGACAGAACTATTTTTAGATATAGAGCTATTTTGTAGCATATGATTTTTCTTAAGAGTGCAATTTTTAAAAGGAAAGTGCCTTGGATACCGCTTTGCAGCTTTACACTTCAGTTACTAAAGTGTCACAGGTTTTAGAGACCATGTGAACATCCCTTTGAAAGGTATGAAAATACTCCTGGATGACTTCTAAACAACAGACTTAAGGGCAGACACTTAGCTTGTATAAATCAGTATCACTCCATTTAAGTTGATGGAACTATGCCAAGATACCAACTTTCATCTGACACGGTCTATTTTTTGCTTCCAACTACTCTTCAATGGAGTTAGAGAACAAACAGGTTTCAGAAGAGATCTGGGTACAGACTGACCTCCTTGAGCCTGGCTGATGCTACAGAATGGAACTTTAGCTGATGAACCAAATGCTGCATCACATTTCCTCCAACAACAACAACAATCTGAAATAATGATCTGTAGGCTCTTACTGTTGCCAGCACTTTTTAAATGTTTCCCCTTGTGCCTCAACAGTTGAAATCCCAGGAAGTTAAATTAGCTTGCAAATTTGACTGAATTAACACCTGCTCATTCAAAACACATTTTAACTACAGGAAGGAATTCTTCACTCTCATTTGGAAGAGCAAAAAGGAAAAAAAACCCACCACAGAACGCAGAAATTATGGCCAATTTCAAGTCTCCGCTGGAATACAGAATTAAGTCATAGCATAGCGTGTGGTTGCTGTTCCATCCTGTTTTCTACTGGTTCCAGTACACAAGCAGACCTAGACTAGAAGCAAATTTATCATTTTCCATGTTTCTGTTGAAAAGTAGTCAAATATACCAAAATATCTTCTCTCAGGTGATGTGAAACTAATTGGGAAATGGAAATAATTATCACATTAATAGTTACTGCTTCCATTTTGTTTTCTTATATGCTTGTACACTGATATACATAATACTGTAATATACTGCATGCAAAGCAGTGGGATAAATAACATCCAAAACAAGTAAGTTTCTTCTGATGCTGTGAATTCTGTCAAAGCTGCTTTTAACCTGGCTTTGCAAACATAAAAATACATAAGATTATATTTTATATGTAATATATGTTACACCAATATTAAAATTGTTCTAGAGAGGTTAAGAATATTTCATTTTTATTTTATAATGACGAACTTGAAAATGTGTTGCTACTGGAATTGACAAAATTCTGGAAGACTTAATGTACTTCAAATGTACTTAACTTTTATTGTTAGTTTATTGCATCTTCGTAAAGGAACAAAGGTATTTATTCTCTTTGCTCAGGAAACCCAAAAATGAGATTGAAATCTTGGTGACTTAGGAACTCATGGAAAAAACGGAGAAATTCAGATTGACAGACCTGTTGTGAAGCTGGTACTGTGGCTCTCTACACGTCCTCATCTGGGGTTGTGACATGAGGATGGCAGCTGATTAACCACAAGACAATGGCTGGAATCAAAGAGGGAAGAAACTGGCACTAACACCTCCTGTGTACCTAGGAAGTGCCACAGCAACCGGAACTGTGGCAGTTTTAATATTAGTCTCTCCCTTGTGAATATGTATTTTTAGCTATGAACATTTAAAGAAGAGATATAAACTGGATTTCCAACTAAAATGTCCAGGAAGCAGATTTCCTGTTTGCCAGACAGCCTTAGCTGACAAAGATGATACTTGAGCAGCTGCATCTGAAATGCCAGAGTAAAGCCCAGGAAAGAGACCACACATGAAAAAACAGGCACAAGAGGTTTTAAATGCACTGTATATTCATTTGTCATGAGTCAGTACTGTACAACATATATTTTCTCATTCTTAACTCAAGGAATTGTATGGCCTTCCTATAAACCCACCCTTGGATGAGGGTAGTGCTGCCCTGACACACACAGCAATCATTCTTTCAGTGTTGAGTCTAAGTATTACAGATTCCAGGAACACACCACTGGACCCCTCACCTCTACCAACACACACCTAACTGGATTCACAGAAGAACCTGATCTTGAAAACAGTCCCTTAATTTCAAAGTCATTCACTGTTGTGAACATAAAAGGGCCCTTAACTGAAGTTAACTTTTAGTTATTGATAATAAATATTTCAAGCTACTTTACTGAAGTTTTATCAAGAGAGTGACACATTCATAATTATGCTACAAATATATTCTGTGTATATACAGAGCTTATGCAATATTTTTACTGGAAATTTCCCTGCTGCTTTAATTTTGTGCCAGCTCTTTATGGAGCCCTGTGCTAACTATTGTCAAGGGAACTGTTTGTATTTAGTTCCCTGTAGAAGGGGGTGAGGATTACACTAAGACTTTAAGAAGAGGAGAGATAACAAAGAAAAAAGGCAATAAAGAAGAGACATGGGAAAAAATAGAACATCCATAATCTTGTAGTTCTCAACCTTTTAAACCAGTCAAATAAGGATGAACAGTAATATATTCTAAGACCAATAAGAAGTGAATTTTGGAAGGCTTCACCTTACAGAACTGAAAGAGCCACTTCTTATGAAAACTTTTATAGTTGGTGGCAAGTTTCTGAAACAATTTAATAAACAATAAACAAAAGTTCAGTGTTTCTGAGTTTTGGACTGTGTCACAGCAGCTAACATTGTGTTAGGTGCTGTGATGCTTGGGAAGTACAGTCACAGGGCTAGTATAAAATCTCACTCTGAAGACTTTACTTTTTCAGGCTACAACTGCAGCACAGCATCACACTGTCCCACCATACTGCTGATTGCAGCATTACATGAGCACACCACAAGCACTGAACCTCTCCATCATGAGTTTCAGAAATGATGTTTATATCAGTAACTAATGTTTAACCCCCCACAACGAAACATACTGGTTTTGCCTGATAGATTTTTTTTTAAGACATCAAAACCTCAAAACACAACCCCCGAATAACCTGTTGCCTAAGTCAAGCCCAGAGAACAGTGCAAATCTCTTCCTAGTCAGAGGAGCTGATCAGATGATCCCACGAAGGATCCTGTTGTCCACAGAAAATCACCTGGCCAGTGATGCACTGACTCAGACGATTCAGGGAGAGCACTTAACCTGCGTGGGTTTCTTGGACAATAAAAGCTTGTGGGGTTTACTGTGCCAGCACAACAAATTTAGTAAGGAATCACAGTGCCTCTGCCCTCTGCTGCCAGTTTTCAGTCCCACAGTGCACCAACTTCAATTGAAACACTTGAAATTTGAAAGCTGTAAGAGACAAAAAACATGCACTGTAAGGATACCAAACAGTGTCAGGGGTGAGAGGGGTGTCCTATATACTCTTGGGACAAATGCAGGGGATCCAGCTGGCATTAGACTTGCAGTGCTTGAGACAAAAAGACAACTGAATCTCGAACAACAGTTCCAGTCATGGAAGTAAAAGAGGGAAGATGCAGTCAGACAGAGAATAGTGACATGATGGAGTGACAACTTGCTCCGGAAAGAGGGAAGAGAGTGTCAAAATTGACATAGGAGCTATAAGCCTGAATGACAGGGAAGATGCTGAAACTGCTAATGGACATGTAACAGTAGATGTCAGGAAAATGAGGTGCACCTGTGAAGAAGAGTTAGATCTAAGCCAGTGTATGAAATGCACCTAAAACAGAACAAGGCCAAAGGAAAGGTAAGACCATGTTAAGACCTAAGGCAAGAAGGCCTTCCCCAGGGACCAAGGGGGAGAGGAACAGAAATAGATTCAGAAATAGGAAGAAAATTTTGATATCTACTTCGAAAAGTGCAAAAAGCAGAAGTTATATTTTTCTGTCCTGAATTGTTAAATCTATTATAGATAACCTTATTTAAAGAATGCAGTTTTGTCATGTATGGAGTTCTTGTCAAAATTATTTTGGGACAGCCAGATATCAGGTAACCCATACTGAAGTCCCATACAGAAGTATCATAACATATTAATGCTGAGAAACTGTCAGGATGATCTGGGGACAGTGACCTTGGATGTCTTAGCTGATGCTCCAGAGGCATGTATAGGTCATTCTGAGTTTGACCCTGAGAGGTCTAAACCCTCTGTCCACTATGGTGGGCATTTGGAGCAAAAAAAAGGCAGGTGCTGAATCTATATCATATTTTGAAAAGTAA